TAGTTCCAGGACAGCTGGGGCTACAAGGAGACCATGTCTCAAAAAGACAAAAAAAAATTATTTCAAATGAGTGAAGCTCTTCGCACCCGCCCCCCACATTTCCCACCTTTGGGAACAGAGCTCACCTCTCACATCTCTCTTCTTTCTTTTCTCCTTACAGCATGGCTGGGAAGACGCCCACACTACCCAAGGGCCCCAGCCAGGAGCCGCTGCTCCCTCTGCCCTGCTGAGCCAGTACACCTAGAGACCCCGGGACAGCACCTGCCTCCCGAGGTTGTGCTGGCACCGCTGGCCACAGCGATGGTGAAGAACTCGACTCTACAGGCTCACAGCTTTCACGTGCACTTAAGGGAGCCAGCACCCTTCCTCCCAAGACTGGCCGAGTTGAACAATGGCTGAGGGCCAGGGGACCCCATAGATTTGTACCACAGCTTCCGGAGGCAGCAGAGCTCCAGCGCCTAAGGACTATGACCACCTATCGGCCCCTTCCTAATGATGGTGTGGACCTGGCAGCCAGTTGTGGGGCCAGGGGCGGCGACATCCTCCCTGGGCCCCATCCGGGGGACTACACTCCCCTGGGATTCTGGGCCCAAAACGGCAGCATGTCCCAGCCTCTTGGTGAGAGCCCAGCCACCGCCACCACCCGCCCCAGCCCCACTACCCCTGCCATGCCCAAGATGGGGGTACGCGCCCGAGTGGCCGACTGGCCACCCAAGCGAGAGGCCCTGAGAGAACAGAGCAACCCCAGTCCCTCCCAGGACACAGATGGTGTGAAAGCCACCAAGGCAGCCCATGCCATGAGGAACCTACAGAATGGACAGCTCCCCGCCAGCACCCCAGCTTCCTCGGGGTCTAAAGCCTTCCATCGACTCTCCAGGAGAAGGTCCAAAGATGTCGAATTCCAGGACGGGTGGCCCCGGTCCCCGGGCAGGGCTTTCCTCCCTCTGCGGCACCGGAGCAGCAGCGAGATCACCCTCAGCGAGTGTGATGCGGAGGACCCTGGGGAGACTCGAGGGACCCGGCATGCAGGGGTGCTGCCCCTCTTCCGAGAGTATGGCAGCACCTCCTCCATCGACGTGCAGGGCGTGCCGGAGCAGAGCTTCTTCGACATCCTCAACGAGTTCCGCAGTGAGCAGCCCGAGACCCAGGGCTCGCAGAGCCTCAGCGAGCTCCTGCGGGCCGATCCCAGCACCCTCCTCCCGGGGGGCGGCTGCGGCGCCAAGGGGGACCCCCGCCACGGCCCGTCCCCCAAAGACTGCCTCCTGCCGTTCAAGGAGAAGGAGAAGGTGCGGAAGAAGCCCCCGCGGGGCCTGGGCGGCGGAGACACGCTGGACTCCTCCATCTTCCGGAAGCTGCGGAGCAGCAAGCCCGAGGTCGACGTGGGGCGGCCCCCCGGAGACACTGAGGATGGCCGGAGCCCCCCGGAAGCCAGCCGGCCGTGGGTCTGCCAGAAGAGCTTCGCCCACTTCGATGTGCAGAGCATGCTGTTCGACCTCCACGAGGCTGCGGCCAACAGGGGCTCTGTGGCCCAGCGGCGCAACACCACCACCGGCGCCTCGGCTGCCTCGGCCTCGAGAGCGTACAGCCTGGGGTCCCTGGACCCCGCCTTCACCAGCACCGAGGACCTGAACTGCAAAGAGAACCTGGAGCAGGACCTCGGGGACGACACCAGCAACGACCTGCTGCTCAGCTGCCCACACTTCCGCAACGAGATCGGAGGAGAGCGCGAGCGCAACGTGAGCTTCTCCAGGGCCTCGGTGGGCTCCCCTGGGGGCAGCAGCGACGTCCAGATGGTCGAGCCTGCCCTGAGCACCCACCGCACCAACGCCAGCATCTCAGTGCTGGAGGTGCCCAAGGAGCAGCAGAGGACGCAGAGCCGACCCCGGCAGTACAGCATTGAGCATGTGGACCTGGGCGCCCGCTACTATCAGGACTACTTCGTGGGCAAAGGTGATGGTGGCAGGGCCCCAGCTTGTCTTTGCGGTACCCAGGGCTTGTGCATTCCACCCTGTCTCAGCCAGTGGAGGTACCCTCGGTGCCTGGGAGGAAGCAGTGAGCCGAGGTGCCGCCCAGCACTCAGCCCTGTGCCGGATTCGTGGCCAACAGGCCACAGACCTTAATCATGTGAGGTGGTAAAACCACAGTATTCAGCACACGTGGGCTTGATACAGCGTGCATCGTGCACTTTCTAGAACCTGTGGGTATTGTACCAACAAAAATACGGTCTCCCAGCACCGGTGTCTTAAGGGTGTGTTGCCTTTGTGTAGGTGTGTCCAGTCACCTGATAGAAACAAGGGAGGATTTTGCCTGCCTTACTTTTCAGGGGGTTCAATTGTAGACACTGGGCTGTGGTGAGGTGGAACAACATCGTGGAGGCTGGAGTGTGTGAAGGGAGGATGCTCCTCACACACACAAGAAGCAGGAAGCAGAGAAGGGACTGGGGACTAGGTATAACCAAGTCACTCCCATGTGACCTACTTCCTCCAACTAGGCCCCACTCAGAGTTTTCACAACCTCCCAAAATAGCACCACTAGTTAGGGACCAAGCTTTTTAACACCTGAACCTGTGGGGGGCATACCAGATTGAGAACATACCAGGGGTAAGTTAGACACTAAAGCAAGATAAATATGTAAAATATATAAGGCATGGTAGAGTGCTGAGTGCCTGGTAGAAGAGTGCAGTGGGGAGGGGGTAGTGATGGGCGAAGGGGAGGAAGGGTCTGTACAAGATGTTCAGGAAGGGCCTCCAGGTGCTATGAAGGAATTGAAGGAGAGAGAGAGGTGGATATCAGGAACAGTGTTCTGGCACAGGGAACGGCAAATGCAATAAGGAGGAGACTGGTGTTGCAGGAATGGTGACTGGGGGCGGGGGGGGGGGGGGGGGGGGGCGGGGGGGGGGGGGGGGGGGGGTGGTGAGGACCAGGCAGAGTGGTGACAAAGACAGATCGTGTGGGACTCTGGGCTTTGGGGAGAACTCCCCTTTACCCTGAGTGAGATGTAGCCAGAGTACTCTGCCCTCCTCTGACTCCAGGTTCACAGCCTCCCTTTGGTTATGTGTGGACAGCTACCTGCTGGGGCCAGGTGGGAGGAGGGAAATGGGGAGGAGGTAGACAGATAGATGCTGGTGACAAGTCCAGGGTGGGAGCCCAGAAGTGGGGACGAGGACATGCTGGCCAGCTCTGGATCCATGTGGATGTGGAGTTGCTGACACCAGAAAGATGGACTTAATACATCATCGGGTGCCTGGTGCAGGTGCCCCAGGAGGCAGCACAGCCTGGTGCAGAGGCCAGAGGCCCAGGCCACCGACAGAGGGAAGTCTGTCAGGCACTAGGCAGCCCCTGCTCTGCTCCAGCTGACTGTTGTTGTGCAAGAAAGAGAAAGCTATGTATGGTGGCACAGGCCTGTATTTCTAGCACTTGGGAGGTGGAGGCAGGAGGATCATCAGTTCAAAGCCATCCTTAGCTGTGTAGCCAGTTTGAGAACAGCCTGGGCTATATGAGACCCTGTCTCAAAAGAGAGAGACAGATAGACATATTCACATACATGTGAGAAGGATGGAAAGCAGGCCAGTGTTGCCAGCACTCCCAGTTTTCTAAGATTCTCCTGAAATTCAGGTTGCTTAGTTTGTTTTAAAATTTGTTTTTATTTATTATTTTATTTTATGTGTATGCATGTATTGCCTGCATGTAGGTAAGTGCACCCGTGTTGTGCAATGCCCGCAGAGGTCAGAAGAGGCTGTTGGATCCCCTGGGACTGGAGTTATGGACAGTTGTTAGCTGCCGTGTGGGTGCTGGGATTCAAACCTGGGACTTCTGCGAGAACAACCAGTGTTCTTAACCGCTGAGCCATCTCTTCAGCCCTGCTTAGTTTGTTTTAAATCAGAGTTGAAGATCATTAAAAATGGAAAGGCACTGGGGAAAGAGCAAAGCATACCAAGAGCAAGGGTGCAGACTTCTCGAAGAAGAGGTGCCTGGATTTTTTTCTAGTGTGAACTCTTCTAATTTCTAAATTGTGACAACTATATTGAGAATTGCTCATAACTACTGTTTAGAACATCTCGTGTAAAAGACCAAAGGTGTGCTGGAGAGATGGCTCAGCGGTTAAGAGCACTAGCTGCTCTCGCAGAGGACCCAGGTTCGGTTCCCAGCACCCACATGGCGGCTACGAACTGTCCTTAACTCCAGTTCCAGGGGATCTGGTGCCCTCTTTCAGCCTATGCAAGCATTACATGGCACAAGTTTACTTAAATGCAGGCAAAACACTTATACACATAAAAATAAATCTTTCTTTTAAAAAGGCTAAAAGTCACCAGCCCAGGGCTAAAGTGATTACTCTCCAGCAACAGTGTAGAGCCAGCCTCTGAGGGTGGCCTCCAGCCCTCAACATATGGGTCCCATCCTGTTCCCCCACCACCCTCAGGCCAAAGCTGCCAGGGCTCCAGCTATCACACATCATTTTCAGACAGGGAGAAAGGGTAAGGACAAAAATGCATACTTTTCAGTTTTTAGGATGCATGCTTTTTTCCTTCCTCTCGAGAGTGGGTTTAAAAATAAATTCTTAAATAGGGCCTGGGAATGTACTCATTTGGTAAAGTGCTTACCTAGCATGCACACAGGCAGCACCACATAAACTGAGCATGGTGGTACACACCTGTAACTGCTGCCTTTCGGAGGTGAAAGCAGGAAGGCCAGAAGTTCAAGGTCATTCTCAGCTCTATAACGAGTTTGAAGTCAGCCAAAGATACCTGAGACCTGTCAATAATAGATAAATAAATCTGCCATAATTAGTTTAATGACATTAAAGGGGCTGGAGAGGTGGCCTAGGCAGTACAGTGCCCGCCACACAAGCATGAGGACCCGAGTTCAGATGCATAACTCACACGTAGAAGAGTGTGGCAGTGCATATCTGTGACCACAGTGCTGAGGAGGCCGGAGGCAGGCAGATTCCCAAAGCTCATTGGCTGAAACCTAGCCAAATTGACAAGATCCAGGTTCATCGATAAATCCTGTATCAGGACATAAGACAAAAGTCAGGCATGTTAGCACTGGCCTTTAATCTCAGTACTCGGGGCAGAGGCAGGCAGATCTCAGTGAGTTCAATACTAGCATGGTCTAAATAGTGGGTTCCATACTAGCTAGGGCTACATGGTGAGACTGTCTTAAAGAAAGATGTGGTGGAGAGCAATGAAGAAAAACACCTGACATGGACCTCAGGCCTCCATGCACATGTATATACACACATGCACACACAAACATATGCATACAACATACACAAAACTTTCAAAGCAGTGTCCTCAGGTTGAGATATAGCTCAGTAATAGGGTGCTTACCTACCTAGCGCACACAGAGCTCTAGGCTTAATCCTCAGCACCACTCAAAAGAAATGGTTCTGGCCAAATATAACAGCTGTCAGCCGGTTCCTCCACAGGGCTCAGGGTGGGCTCTGGAGCCAGTCTTGGGTTAGACAGCCTGTGAGTTGGACTGTCTCATAGCTTGTTGGCTGTGTGACACATTTCACCCCTCAGATTGTACTCACAGGAGAAAAGGAGTTGATTGTAATGAATCCCATGCCCCAACCAGCAGCGAGAAGGACAGTGAATGGGGTGAAAATACAAAGTCCAGACCATTGCCCACAGAGGGTTGATGAGGCACCATGAGGATCCCATTCCATAACATGGGATTCCAAGGCGAAAAGTGCCTGCTAGAAGAAAGAAAAGTGCCATTTCATGTTTGAAAATTCACCAAGAAGCTGGGCATGGTAGTACACACCTATAATCCCAGCACTCAGGCTAAGGCAATGGCATCTCTAGTTTGAGACTGGCCTTGCCTACACAGTAAGACCCCGCCTCACAAAGGTGGCAGAGTCAAAAGGGGGAGACCATTTGGCCATTTCCTGCCAAGCAGAGTGAGACATACCTTTAATCCAAGTGTTAAGGAGGCTGAGGCAGGAGGATTTCCAGTATGAGGCCAGCTTTAGCTTCATAGCAAGTTTAAGGGCAACTCAGAATAGTAATATAATAAGACATTGTCCAAAATAACTTTTTTTGAAAATATCTTTTCGCAAATGATTTCTTTGTAACCGTGGAAACTTATGAGTAATTTAGTGTTTATTGAATACTTGCTGTGATTTCTTCTTTAAAAATATTTTTTCTTATTTTTATTTTTTGTGTATGAGTGTATTGCCTACATGTATGTAAGTGTACCCATGGTGTGCAATGCTTAAAGGCCAGAAGAGGGTGTTCTGTCCCCTGTAATGAGTTACAGATGCTTGTCAGCCACCATGTGGGTACTGAACCTGGGTCCTCTGCAAGAGCAGCCAGTGCTTATAACCATTGAGCCATCTCTCCAGCCCCCATATACTGTGATTTCTAAGGTGCTGAGCTTTATACCTAGGTAGAAAAAGCCAACAAGGCCTATAGCTGCTTCAAGAAAAGTCACACCACCTCATGAAGAAGGGGTTGATTATAACATGCCCCAACCAGAATTGCACTGAGGTGGACAGTGAAAGGTGAAATCACATACGATATTCTATTCTGATTAATTCACATCAGTTATTTTGAGTTAACCTTAGATTCTCCTGAGAGCAGGAACCCAGTTACATCCAGAACACTGGGGTGGGAACAAGAAGGTGTCTGCCATGTTCCTGAATTTTTGGTGGTAGCTAGATGCTGACTTTGTGAACTAAAGTCAAACAGGTTGCAGGCAGGTTCTGCCCACAAGCAAAAAATACTAGGGTTGGACATCAGGAAGAACTGTTTCCTGACAGGGTTCTCAGCGCATCTAGGAAAAAGGAAAATAGCTGGGGGTGAGGAGGAGAATGCTCCCTGGCTCACTTTAGGTGGTCCCTCTCAGGAGAAAGGAATAGCAGTTCCATTACCTAGGAATGCAGATACATGATCAGATACAGCTGAAGCTTAGGGGTCTGAGTCAGGGCCTGAGCAGATCTAAGGCCTGGGCCACTAATCAGCCAACATTTAAGCTGTGTGCTTCCTGTGCGGCCAGCCTGGTGTCATGCCAACTCAGTCCTCACACTGGTGAGCCCATTTGACTGCTGAGAATGCTGTCATGTGACCAGGCTGGGTTCCTGTGTCTAATCTCACCCCGGATTTGGACTGGCAGGAGACTCCCTGGGCGCAAGACTTAACCGCCTTACAGCGGCTAATGGGAACTAAACCAGGCAAACCACTAACAGAGCCCACGTTAATAATCTTGGGTGCTGAGTTGATGACTCACTGTGCACTGTACCAAGCCTTCCACAGCTGTGGTCTCACCCTCACATACCACCTCTGAGTTCTAGTGGCATCAGAGTCCAGGCTCAGCAAAGGTCTATGACTTAGTTGGGACAGAGAGCCAGATTTTGGCTAATCTCAGGATTTCTCTATTGGACTTAGATTAGTAAATTTTATGTGAGGCCATGATCCCACTCATGTCACCTTGTCAGAAGGCTGCCATGGGCAGGGCCCTCTCCTTCCAGATAGCTGACTGCACTCCCCTGCCCTCTTCTCTCAGAGCATGCCAATTACTTCGGTGTGGATGAGAAGCTGGGACCTGTGGCCGTGAGCATCAAGCGGGAGAAGCTGGAAGACCACAAGGACCACGGGCCTCAATACCAGTATCGGATCATCTTCCGGACCCGAGAGGTAGGTCCCTGCTCCCACATGCCTGCTGGGTGAGTGATAATAAAACTTCACATCCCCATACCTGGCTCTTCCAGGCTGAGGCTTCCCTGCTGCCTGTCCTCTGAGGCCCAGGAGCACAATCCTGTGAGCTTGTCCATTTTACAGAGGGAAAAACTAAGATTCGAGAAATGACTTGAGTTTTGGCAAATAAGATGGCAAGCCAGAATTTGAGCCCAGGATTACAAAATCTGTTTGTAGGAGATTAACTCCAGTGAGCATAAAAAACTAGAGGGAGATGAGAAATCAGGACCAAGAATTAAAGAAGGCTCCGAGCTCTTGACGACCACTGCTAACTACCACCCCTCCCACATTGAGAGCCTGCTGGGCCACCCCTGGAGTAAAGATCAGCTGCAGCTAGGAAAGAAGGCATATTAGGGGTGCTCCTACACAAGTATGAATAAATGGGGACAGAAATGTGTTTCTAGCTCGCTTAAAGCAACACAAAGAGAGTCACTGATCTGTGTAACTACAGATCAGGAGTGAATCCTGCTGTAGGCACAGCTTGTCCCAGCCTCCAGTTAGACAGCAGAACTTGGCTCCTCCTCTTTCCCTGCTCAGCTTGCCTCTGCCTCCTTTTACTCGGTGAATGCCATCATTCTCTTTAGCCACCACCACACACTCTCTAGTCCTGGGGAAAGGGACCAACGTGCAGACCTGGATCATCCCAGCTTTCCATTCAGAAGGAATGACTCGTTCTACAGGCTCTCTTATTGGTTCTGTGTGGATCCCACACCCACACCCTGGGCCAGGCCCTGACAGGGTGAGAAGAGGTGAGAGAGATAGCCAGCCAGATCTAGGGCACGCTCCACCCTAGGCGCAGGGCCACCACCTGGCTCCGAGATTGACAGTTCTATGGGAGTCACCCAAGGGAGAAGGAGATCCTTGCAGAAAGGTGGAACAGTTTCTGTTTTGTCTTTGTTTTTAAGACAGTGTTTTAAGACTTCTAACTCACTGTACCCAAAGCTGGCCTTGAATGCCTAATCGGCCCTCCTCTACCTTCCAAGTACTGGGATTTTTTTATTTGTTTTGCTTCCCTCCGTGAGTTCAGTTCCCAGCAGTACAAAAAAAAAAAAAAAAAAAAAAAAAAAAAAAACCCGTACACAACAGTGGCAAGTGACGACGGTCAGAATTCCAGAAAGGCACGAAAGGCACATCAGCTGACAGGTCCCCAAACTGGGGCTCCCTGTGGGCCAGGCCTGCACCCTGGTATGGAAACTCAGCAGGCTACCACTGCCGTGGACTGAGTTTGGGACCAACAGAGTCCTAGAGCTCATCCAGGCAGGCAGGCAGATGCAGCACTGAGGACCCTCAGCTTACCCAAGAGACTCCTCTCCTGGCAGCCAAGGAGTTTAGGCCCCCAAACTATGTGCACGGACTGAAGGCAGTCCCCGGCCTGTGTCTCCCCAGCCAGCCTCAACCTCTGCTCAGTCTTCTGGCCAGCTGAGCATCAAAGCAGACTGTGGGCTGACAGCTCACACAGCATCAGAGTGCATTAGGACAGGTGGGCAGCCGCTGGTGAAATGATCAGCCAGTGTGTGTACTCATGTGAGATGCTATTTCTGCTGCCATGGAAGCCACGGCACACCAGCTCTGCACTGGGTGTCAGGCTGGTGTTCTGTCATTGTGTGTGCCAGCACACATCGGTCCCATGGTCTCATCAGTTGTCTGATGGCAGCATTCTTGTCATTTATGACAAAACACGTACACACCACATAGGACCCTCCAGTAAACAGCAGGGCCAGGTGTCTATCTGTCCTCTGGCCACCCAACACACCTGCCTCCGGGAGTCACCTGACTCAGTTTGGAGATGGAGTATTTGAAATAGGGTCTCAGTCTGAAGCTCAGGCTGGCCTCAAACAGCAGTCTTCCAGGCTCAGCCTCCCAAGTGCTGGGTTTATAGGCATGTGTCACTTGAGCCCCACATAGAATGAACTTAGTGGTTTATTTTCTACTTTATTATTTGTACATGTGTACATCTGTGTGTGAGTATGCACACACAAGTGCAGGTGCTCTGGAATCTAGACAAGGAGGTGTCAGATCCCTTGGAGTTACAGGCAGTTGAGCCACCCATTGTGAGTATTGGGAACAAAACTTAGGCCAGCTCTATGGCTCCAAATTTTTTGATTTTGGGGTCAGAGCCTCATGTAGTTCAAGTTGGCCTTGGACTTATGCGGCCCAAGATGACCTTGAATTTCTGATCCTCATTCCTCCACTTCTACCAGGCCTGTACCACCATTACCTGGTTTATGCAGTGCTGGGCATTAAATCCCAAGCCTTGTACAGGCTAAGAAAGCATTCTACCAGCTGAGCTGAGTTACATCCCCAGTCCCTATGATGATTTTTATTTTATTTTATGTGTATAAATGTAGTGCCTGCATGTAAGTGCACCCATGTCATGCAATGCCTGCAGAGGTCAGAGGGTGTTGGATCCCCTGGAACTGGTGTTACAGACGGTTGTTAGCTGCCATATGGATGCTAGAATCTAAACCTGGGTCCTCTACAAAAGCAGTCAGTGCTCTTAACTGAGCCATCTCTCCCAGGATGCTACAATGATTGATTGATTGATTGATTGATTGATTGATTTTTGGTCTTTTTGAGACAGGGTTTCCCTGTAGCCCCAGCTGGCCTGTAGATCACGCTGGCCTTGAACTCACAGAGATCTGCCTGCCTCTGCTTCTCAAGTGCTGGGATTAAAGGTGTGTGCCACAACAACAACAAAAAATTTTTTAAAGAACAGACTACATCACATGTGCTGAGGGCCATGACACTTCATTGTTTATTAGCGACCAGATCAAGGTACAACTTTTCTAAACTGTTCCTTGCCATTTTCAGCCCGATCCTGCTCCTGGAGCCCTGGTCTCATGGCCATGGGTCTGAGATGCATCATCCTATTGAGATTCACCAGACACCACCACTTCCCCAGCCTTAAGCAGGGCTTTGGGGGTGTAGCAATGACTAAGCCTCAAAGGGGCTTATAGACTGCACTCTTGGGGAAAGACAACAGTGCTACACAAGAGTGCTGCACATCCTCATAACCTGTGCTGGGGTGCATAGTGATGAGGTGGAAGACTCCACAGGGAGGCGGGTGACTATGGACGTGGTCAGATCTTCAGACAGGATGGTCCAGGGAGGAAGCACTGTGAAGAAGGCATCCAAGACCTCAAGGAGCTAGTGTGTACCTCACACCTGTAATCCTAGCACTCGGAAGACTGAGGCTGGTGGCTGTAAGTTCAAGACCAGCCTAAGCTGCAGAATTAATTCTACTCAGTCTCACCACCACTACCCCCTCCACCCCCTACCCCTGCCCAAGCAAGCCTTTCTCTGCTCTCACATGCAGACCCAGCCCTGGGCCCTAGCCCTTGCAGAGCTACCCTGTGAGTTGGAAGGAACGCAGTGGCCTACAAGGCTTGCCTTACTTCTTCCTGGTGCCCTCCCATCCCAGAAACAGAGCAGAGGGTTGCATAGATCAACACGGCAGCCCAGAGTCGTCCACTGAAGCTTTCAGTGTAGTAGTGTTGCCAGGCTTGCACATTCCTGCCTTAGGTCTCTCTCTTCTTTCCCATGGGGGTCCCATTGTCTTATTCCACGGATTAGGACATTGGAGCCAGGGTGAAAATGGCCTTTTCAGAGTCACACAGTGGCAGAGCAGGATGACATGGCCCTAGGGTGCCCTGCTTCTAAGGCCGGGCCCCTATCCACATCCCCCAGTGCCTGTCAGACTGAGTTAGAATTCAGACTCAAGAATCAGAAACTCCTGGGCCGTGTCCAGTGCTGCCCCTCACTGGCCACATGACTTGGATAGACTTTTCATTTATGGAGACCTGGGTTTCTTCATCTGTAAAATAGGCTTTGGGCTGTGCCGTGAAAGGTGGGAATGGGCTCTTGTGTGGGAAGTGGCTCCACAGGCTCCAGAGCAGGAAATAGCTGGATCCTGCCAGGTCTGACAGCCTGTGATGGCTGTCACTCTTTCAGGAGGGCAGAGGCTATACTGGGGAGCTCATAGGCAGGTCTCTATCTTCCTGTCCACACATACACACCTCAGGCCCCTATAAACCAGGACCCAGGCTACCTTCCAAGCTGGCCAGATGGCCTGTCCCAGATGGCTACCCCCAGCCACCAAGCAGACAGGCTCCAGTGGACCCATGTCTCCCAGCAGATGGGGTAGGAGTTTTGGAAGGACCCAGCTTCCCACTGAAGCAGGAACAGACTCGGGGCTGGGCTCAGGCACTACACACCTAAACCATCAACTGGACAAGCCTAAGCCAGGGCTGCCCTATGCCATCCCCATGCCAGCATTTCTCATTTGGCACATGACACTCCAGCCAGCCTGAGACCATCTGGCCCGTCGCACTCTCAGCCTGGCAGATGGGGACTTTTGACAGACCTTAGGGTTTTGTTGTTGTTATTTTGGTTTTTAAGGCAGGGCCTCCCCGTATGGCCCAGACTGGCCTGGAACTCACAACCCCTGCCGCAGCCTCCTCGGTGCTGAGATTATTACAGGCAATGCCACCACAGCCAGTTAGGCTTCATAAGACTTAGGTGTTTGAAAGTTTATTTTCTTTACCAGTTTTTCTTCAGTATTCAAAAAATACACCAAATATTGATTGTTAGATTTTCAAGGATATATAAATATATAAAGTAGAAAGAGGAAAGTCTTAACTAAGAAGAAAGATCAACTACTGGGGTTGCAGGGGGGACCCACATGTGATCCGTAAACACATCTGCTTTTGTGCATATAACTCCCTGTATCCCCAAAGCATACTGTTGCAGGTGGGTGGGAAGGGAACTGTAGCTTCTTCCTTAAAGCATTTAAAGTTTTTGACTTCTGTGTGGCTTTATAAACTTGCCCGTATCTGCATGTAGGAGTAGCTGGCACTCGCTGTATTCCAGATACAGTGGTAAACGCTGTGTGTACAGTTTCTTACTGGATTCTTCGTGTAGCCCAGGTTGACCTGGGACTCTCAATCCTGTATTAGTCTCCAGAGTATTTGGATTACAGATGTGCACCTCCACATCTGAGCAAGGTAGGCATTCTTACCCCCATTTTGTCATTGAGGAAACGAGAGATTCTAAAGTAGGAAGATGGACAGTTCCCGGCTAGCCAAGGCTACATAGCAACACTGTCTCAAAAACCAAAATGAGCCACGTGTGGGGGTACACACCTGTAATCCTAGCACTTGGGAGGTAGAGATTGGAGGCTTAGGAATTCAAGACCAACCTCAGCTACATAGCCAGTTCAGGGCCAGCCTGGGCTCCATGAGACCCTGTTTCAAAATCCAAAAAGGGAGAGAAGAAAAAAATGAGGAACAGTCTGAGAAATTGAGTGACCTGCTCACGGACAGCGCTAGGGAGTGGGTAAACCTGGGATTTGAACACAGGCTGACAGTCCCCCAAGCACCATCCCAGAAGTCCTGAGGGGTACAGCCACCACCCAGCACAAAGAGAGCACCCAGCATGCATGTGGGTCAAGCACCAAGACTCACTCTCACAGATAGGCACCCCCTTGGCTTGTGTGGCACTATATCCCTTTTATAGCTCACTTGGTTTGTAAAGATGCCAGATGTCCTAGGGTTCACAGCAGATCCACTCCAGCTGCTTCAGAGACAATGGGCTGGCAGTGGGGTGTGTAGGGAGACCCAGAGGGGCTCCTGCGGGGGTGGGAGGTGACAGGGACAGGACCATGTAGAGAGAGGCAGCTTCTCATGCCCTGCCAGTGCCCTGCTTCTCTGCCTCTGGCCTTGGAAGAACTGGGAGCTCTTCAAGTGCATGGCCTCAGGCCAGTAGTGACCAGGGCCTGATGTCTCCGGAGCAGAATGGTTCCTATTCTGCACTGGCCCTTGGCTCCAGCAGAGGGCACTGTGGAACAGTGACCAAAAGACGCTGATCCTGTGGGTGAGTTAATGAAACCCAGGGCCACCCAGACAGTAAAGTGCCTGACATCATCCCTGTGCCCCATGTTTCACACCCACCTTGTTTATGATAAGCAAGATTTGTTTGTTAATGACCAAAGTCAGAACTGGGAACTCCCAACCGTGAGATCACTCCCTTCCACACAGGGTCTTGTTTGGCAAGGATGGGCTGTGTACCCGGTGGCAAAATCATAGCATGCTTTTGCTGCCTCATGTGTCTGTTGACTTAGGAGAGCATGTTTTTGCAGTTAACAGTGATCTGTTTAAACCGCAGTTCCAAGCATATTTGGGATGCTTGGAACAGGCTCTGGAGGGATTTTTTTTTTCTTATGGTATGGGGGAGGGGAGCTTTCTGAGCATTCTTGCTGCCTCTTCCACCTGCTCTACCTAGCCTAGGATGTGGCCTAGCCTGGTGGCTAGAAGCTAGTTAGTGTCAGAAGGACTTGGCTGCAGGGGCTCTCAGGACTAGCCAGGTATGAATCGGAACAACTACTTGGAAAAGTGTTTGGCAGTTTTAATAAAACTGGAGATTAGCATGTCTGGGTGATTTAGCAATTTGTCTCCTAGGTAAAAACCCAAAAGGAAATGTGTTCATGTGCACCAAGAGGTGCCTCTGTGGATGTTCCGAAAGCGCTGTTCACAGTTGTCAAATACCAGGAAGCAGTTGTGCTCAGCAGCCCTAGGAAGGATTAAATCCAGGGTGGCACAGACGCCAGCCTCTCACAACATGGTGGAATCCATGCACACAGCATTCAGAAAGAAACCAAACCAGGCATGTTGACACACCCCTGTCATCCCAGCATTTGTGAGGCTGAGTTAAGAGACTGTCTTTCAAGGACAGTCTACACTATAGAATGAGACCCTTTCTCAAAATAGAGAGAAAGGTCAGGTGAGGTGGCACACAGCAGTAATCTCAGCATGGTCAGGAGGTAGAAGCAAGAGAATCAGGAATCAGGAGTTTGAGGACAGCCTGAGCTACATGAGACCCTGACTCAAAAAAAAAAAAAAGGGGGGGTGGTAACACACCCCTTTAATCCCAGCACTCAGGAGGTAGAGGCAGGCAGATCTCTGAGAGTTTAAGGTCAGTTTGGTCTACATAGTAAGTTCTAGGCCAGCTGGGGCTCTAGAGAGACCCTGTTTCAAAAAAAAAAAAAAAAAAAGGGAGGGGCAAGAAGATACCAAGAAACAGAAGAATCCAAACCGCCAACAGGCATGTGGCTCAAGGTTAGAGCACTTACCTAGGAGCCCATGATTTCATCCAAAGCACCCCATGCTCCTGCTAAAAAGATAAAGCTTCATGAAGCCCAGAAGTAGGCAGGAATAAACTCGAGCACTGAAAGTCTGAAGGCTTCAGGAAATGCATTTCTTGGCCTGAGTGGTGACTGACCAGGCACTCATCCTCTGAGCCTTCCCTCATCCTTTCTTTATGTGCTATACACTTCTGTATATGTAGACTATACAAAAAAAAAAGTATCCTGAGCCCATCTTGGTGTTGCCTGTCTATAGTCACAGCACTCAGAAGGCCGAGACGGGAAGGTCCCTGCAAGTTCCAGGCCAGCCTGGGATACATAACTAGACCTCGTTTCAAAGAAAACAAAAAAGAAGTCAGGTAGGAGCATCAGGACTCAATTCAAATGTTTCGTCTTCACACTGATGTCCTCAGCAGGAATACATGCACCAGTGGAAAGTCCTGAGCGAAGGGCATTTCTCCTTGCCTCGAGCTGGTTTCAAGCTGTAGGGAAAGCTTGGGAAGTAGTAACATTGGAGGAAGAGGCATGAGCTGGCCTTTGACAACAGGTTTTCAACCTTTACAGCATATCAGAATCAAAGGAATTAAACATGTGTATACTTACACTATACACAGAGACACATGTACATGGGCAGATACATGCCGGACCCCACCCTAGACTGACCAAATCTGAGTCCCTGATAATGATTTCTTTTTTCATGACACTGGTTAAAAATGAGTTCAAGATCTAAGCTGCCATCAATCTCCCAGGCGGGCAGATCTTTGATGTGAGGATGTACGGTAAACATATCTATGAAATAATGTTATCACAATAAGGACAGTAAAGGCCCTTCCTCATGGAGCTGATTTTGTTGGTTGCAGTTCCATCTCCCCACCCATTAGCACCCAAAATGAGAGCTTTGCTTGCTCTCTGCACTTGGAATAGATCGGCACACAGGGGATAGCCACCAGTGTGTACTAAACAGAGAACAACGCCTTACCCATCCTGTCAGCCTCCCAGTTCCCCTTCACAGTCACTGTACATTCTGTCCCACAGAAGAAGTTGAGGCTCACTGGGTCAGGATCACAGAAGAGAGATAGCAAGTTTGAATCCTGCTTCAGAACTATTAACACCCCACTACACTTTTCTGACTTTCCCATTTATTTTTTGCTTAGTTTGGTTTTGGTTTTTTGAAACAGGGTCTCAGTCAGACATGCTGGTGCACACCTTTAATCCCAGAGCTAGGGAGGCAGAGGCAGGAGGATCTCTGTGAGTTCAAGGCCAGCCTGATCTATATAGTGAGTTCCAGGCCAGCTGGGGCTACAGGGAGACCCTGTCCCAAAAAGAAAAAAAAAATATTTAGATATTTATTTTATGTGTATGAGTGTTTTGCCTGCATGCATATAAGTGCATCCATGTTGTGTGATGCCCACAGAGAACAGAAGAAGGCGTCAGATTCCCTGGAACTAGAGTTAGGGACTGTTAGCTCCCATGTGGGTGCTGGGAACTGAACCTATGTCCTCTGCGAGAGCAGCCAGTGCCCTTAACTTCTGAGCTATCTCTCTAACCTGTTTTGCCTTTTTTGAGACAGGATCTCCCTATACAGCCCAGGCTGGCCTCAACCTCAAAACTGACTAGTCCTGACCTCCACAGTGCCTAGATTACAGACGTGTACCACACCTAGCTACGCGTGTCTTTGAGCTCTGTGTACTACAGCCCTTCTCGAGGCACTAAGAGCCGCTGACCATCCCTTCTGTCTTTTGAGCAGCTCATCACCCTTCGGGGCTCCATCCTGGAGGATGCCACACCCACAGCCACGAAGCACGGCACGGGGCGGGGCCTTCCCCTGAAGGACGCACTGGAATATGTCATCCCAGAGCTCAACATCCATTGCTTGCGACTGGCCCTCAACACTCCCAAGGTCACGGAACAGCTGCTGAAGCTTGACGAGCAAGGGGTGAGCTGGGGTGCCGGGACCCAGCCGCGGCTCTCCTCCCAACTGCTCCTTCTGTCTCCATCACTGTGTTTTTAGCATGTAACAGAAATCCACTTAAGCTAGCTTGAGCAACAGGAAGGGAGCTCTTAGCAAGTTGTAGGGGTAACGAGCAGGGCCATAGAAACAGCCTGGGAATGAGATTGACACCGCAAGGTTTGGGGGGTGGATCCTACAGCCCCCATTATTACTGTTGAACTTCCAACCATGTGTAGACCCCAAGTAGCTGAGATTCGGTTTCTCAAGTCCCCGATTTGCCCCCACTTCAGTCAGATATCAGGGACCAGGGGAATCAGGGACACCTGAAACCAGCCTGGTTATACAGCTCTCAATAAAAGCACAGGACATAGCCCCAAGCTGCATGGGTTCCGCTATGGCCCCATTTGGCCCACGCCCAGCTACCCCCCAATAGGAAATCAGCTGTGGCACCCAGTTCTGCTTTGAAAACATCACACACAGAGCCGTGCAGAGACAGCCAGTGGTGTGGATACCTTCCTGTGCCTCTCTGGAAAGGAGGCTCAGCTGAGACATGACCCACACCGTTTCTTTCCCTCTGGCTGTGGCTTGACCTCCCAAGTGGTCTCAGCAGTGCTTGGTCTCAGCACTCGCTTTGTCCCATATTCATATTCATATTCATATTCTCTCTCTCTCTCTCTCACCTAAATATCTGAATTTAGGTCTTAGATATAGGCCCAATGTTCTCCAATTTCTTTTTACTTCCCAGATGATCTAAATACTATAGTAGCAAACAGACATTCCTATCTCAACAGGGCCTCCTGGTACCTGTTACACACCATCTTGGAACCTCTCCCCTCCACAGTTGTGCCGAAAGCACAAGGTTGGCATCCTGTACTGCAAGGCTGGCCAGAGCTCAGAGGAGGAGATGTACAACAATGAGGAGGCTGGCCCTGCCTTTGAGGAGTTCATGGCCCTGTTGGGCGAGAAGGTCTGCCTGAAGGGCTTCACCAAGTACGCAGCCCAGCTGGATGTCAAGAGTAAGTGGGGCTGGGGCTGGGGAGATGACTCAGCAGTTGAGAGGACCCGGGTTCAATTCCTAGCACCCGTGTGGCAGCTAACAACTGTCCGTAACTCCAGTTCCAGGGGCCCTAATGCCTTCTTTTGACCTCTACAGGCATTGCATGACATGGGTACACTTACATATGTGCACCCATACACATAAAATAAAAATAATAAAAAAAAATTTTTTAAGTAAGTGGGATTGGGGCGAGGGTGGGGAGATATGACTCCAGAGTGCAACCAAAAAAACAAACAAACAAACAAACAAAATTAAAAACAGTGGGGACTACTGAAGTGTTGGGGAGCTGCCTGCTTGTCTGCCTGGCCAGCAGAAGCTCAGGTCTGGTGCAAGGCGAGGATGCAGACCAGTGGCAGCTCTTGGCTATGACTGGTGGGAATGCAAATAGTGCCCCCACCGAGGCAAGCAGCACAGCGTGTTCTTGGGAAGGCAGCCCTCCAGTCTGACTCAGCAGTTGCACTCCTAGACGGATGTTCTGTGAGCACCACCATGAGCAAGAGGTATGGGGCCCAGGCATAGCCTAGGCACCTGTAGGAAGTGCCACAGGACTGTGTGATACTTGCATGGCAAGGACATGGCTGCCTGGTGAGGCCCACCTGTCACACTAGCAAGTCTCCCAAGAGCATGTATCACAGGATGCATACTCTTATGTGCCAAGTATTTTAAAAGCATAGGGATGTATTGAGGATTTGTTTTCATATAGTAAACTCTAAAGAAAAGCAAAGGACCAGGTGTGATGGTGCATGCTGTAATCCCAGCACTTGGGAGGCTGAGTCAGAATATTAACTTAAGACCAGCCTGGACTGTAGTACATAGTAAGACCTTGTCTCAAAAACTCATATAATGGGAAATTTCCTTTTTTCTAAATTTACTTCCTTTTTAAAGATTGGATTTAAGTAGAAACATCAAGTTAGAAACTAGCAGATGGCCTGTGGAATATGGCAGAAGCCCAGAGGCTTTGGAGCTGTGGTACTAACTGGTGTTTCTGTCTCAGCTGACTCCACGGGGACCCACTCCCTCTACACGACGTACCAGGACTACGAGATCATGTTCCACGTCTCCACCCTGCTCCCTTACACCCCCAACAACAGGCAGCAGGTCAGTGGTCCCCAGTTGGCACACAGTTGGTCCCAACGTGTTCACCCTCCTCATGACTGGTGGCCACTTACCAGTCCTTCTGCACAATGATAGCTCTCCTATGGTCCTGTGACTCCAGTTGGCCCTTGGAGAAACTAGGTAACAGGGTCATTTCCCCATTATTTGGAAGACGACACCAGGTGTGGTTTGATGCCTGTGTGGAACCAGCTCTTCCCGCTCATCCTTGGCCACCCTGCTTACCGTTAACTACCCCATCATCTCCCCTTCAATCTCCTGAGTCAACGCCAGTTTTATGAAAGAGAAGAATAAGTGACTTAACAACATTTGACAACAAACTCAAACCAAATTGGCATAAGCAAGGCATAGGATTGGGTTATATAACCTACGGTTCTGGGAGATGCTGGTTTTAGGTATGGCTGGATCCAGGGCCTCAAACAGTACAGGAATCCTCTCTATTTCTGCCTCCACTTCACTGTATAGCGGCCTCATTCAGAGGTCTTCTTAGTAATGGCAAAGATGGCCCCCCATGATCCATGCTATCATCCTATCATTCAGCCACACCAGAGGAAAGAGACTGAGCCTTCAGTTGTCCCTGACAACACATTCTTCCTCTCCCTGGCCTGAGTCTTTCTGAACCACTCACATGTCAGTCCTGGGGTGGGGATGTAGAGAGCCCATTAGCCAAGCCTGAAGTATGGGCCATCCTGAGGAGGCCAGTGGGTAAGGTGCCAGGGAGGTACTCTCTCAGAGGAGTGGATGTGGCCAAGAGAAGGGGGTGCTGCTGTTGGTGTGTCCAGCTCCTCCCAGGCAGACTGAGCCCAGGGGGCAGCTCTCTGGACTTTCTAATGACCAGAAACCCAGAGTAGTGAGCATTTAGAAAGTAGGGTTTTTTTTTTCCATTAGTTCAGGTCACACTGTAGATTCTGTAGATAAAACTAGTCAGCTATGAGCCCTTTTCTAAGGTTACCCTAGTAACTTGCTCTCAGGAGCATTGGTATTGAGAATAGGCCTGAGTCTGAGTTCTAGACCTGACTAGACCTGAGTCTGAGCTGTATGACCTCAGGTCAGTGATGGTACCTTGCTGAGCCTCCAGTCCCTCCTCCCAGTGGCAGCATGGTCATGCTTATGTCTAATGGGCCTTGGGAAAGGAGTATGCTTCCATACATGGGCCCAGAGCATGAGGCACTCTAAGGACATAGGGGGCCTGTTCCTGAGTTTTGAGCTGGGGGCAGCTTGTCCTGTAGAGGCCAATAGAAGTGGACTGGTATCCTGCTATTTCATGCATCCCTGCATGACATCAGGCTGGACATTTTTAACTTCCCTGAGCTGCATTTTCCCCATTGTGAAGATTGAGTTACTGCTGCTCAGGGTTTGGGGGAGATTCAACGAGGTCATGAATTTAAGATGTGACTGGGAGTTGACTCTTATACGGGATCAACCACAGGAAGCAGGTCCTTAGCAACTTCATCCATGTAATTCAGACATAGAAAGAAACAAAGGGCAGGCTGGATCGAGTGGTGCATGCCTATAATCCCAGCTATTCAGTAGGCTGAGACAGGGGGGATTGGCAGTCTGTCAGGACTACAGAATAGGTTCAAGGCCTGCCTGGGTGATGATTTAGAAAGATTGTCTCAAAAAAATAAAAACTGGGGCTGGAGAGATGACTCAGTGGTTAAAAGTGCTGGCTGATGGGGCTGGAGAGATGGTTCAGCGGTTAAGAACACTGACTGCTCTTGCAAAGGACCCAGGTTCAATTCCCAGCACCCACATGGCGGCTAATAACCATCCTTAACTCCAGTTCCAGGGGAATCTGAAGCCATCTTCTGACCTCCACAGCATTGCATGACACGGGTGCATTCACACACAAATGCAGGCAATACACTCAGACACATAAAAGAAAAATAATAAATAAAATGTATATATATATTTTTTAAAGTGCTGGCTGCTCTTGCAGAGGACCCAAGTTCAGTTCCCAGCACCCACATGGTGGCTAAGAGCTATCCCATAACTTCAGTTCCAGGGGCTCTGATGCCCTCTTCCAGCCTCTATAGGCTTGAACACACGAGTGCACTTACACACATGCAGGCAACACACATACACATAATAATAAATAAGAATAAATCAAAAAAAATTTAATAAAGTTATTTTTGATTGTTTGTTTTTTTGTTTTTTTTTTTGGCCTTTTTGAGACAGGGTCTCCCCGTAGCCCCAGCTGGCCTGGAAGCACTATGGAGACCAGAGATGCCTCCCAAGTGCTGGGATTAAAGGCATGCGCCACCACGCCTGGCATAAAATTACATATTTTTAAAAAAGTCAGTCATGGTAGTGAACTTCTGTAATCTTAGCACTCAGGAGGAGGAGCAGGAGGATCAGGGGTTTGAAAGTTGTCCTCAGCTATTTAGTGAGCTTATGTCCAGTCAAAGCTACATAAGAACCTCTCCCCCACCCAAAAAGTGCCGCATATCTCAACAAATAAGCAAGATACTAAATACACACATTCTAGTCTCAGTTGCTCAGAGATGAATACAGGAGAGTGGACGCAACTTCTTGGGTCATCTAAAGCCAAGAGAGATGGCCACCTAGAATTGGCCCTGTCCACGCCTCTGGTCAGACACTGCCATTTTCCACGTGGCTTGAGCAGATCCAAGGCCTCCAACCCCAAGTTCTCCTTCAGTAAATATGATGTGCTAAGCACCCCCCTGTGCCCTCTGTTCAGGGAACTGAGGGTACAGTCACAGACAGCAACCAAAACAAAGTCAGCCTTTTTCTGTCCCTGACACCTGAGTGGGAAGAGAGAGAAGGAACAAGGAGAGAGAAAGCCACTGTGCAAAATGTGGCCGTCAGCTTTGGGGTGGAGGGGCAGGAAAGCAGAAATGCAAGGGAGGTGGGGCGGGTCTGGAAGATGGGCTGTGAATGATCGAAAACCCCCAAAGGCCCGAGGAACTAAGGAGGAAGGAAAGGACACTGGGGCATCAGGGACATGTTTGAAGAGCAGCGGAGCAGGTGTGGGAAGGAGTACCCCAACTGTGAGGTGAGGGGGTGCCTTGTGGAGGGAGGCTTTGTCCTTTCCTCTCAGTGAGGTGGAGCCCAGGAGGGCCCTGAGCAGGGAGGGGCAAGACCTGACTCCTGTGCTCACATGCGCCCTCTGGTGGGAGTTGAGAGTCCGCCAGGCTGTCTGGATAGGTCTAGAGCCAACCTGTGACACTTCCCTCTCCTCCCTCTGCTACCAGCTGCTGAGGAAGCGGCACATAGGGAACGACATCGTGACGATCATCTTCCAGGAGCCAGGTGCACTGCCTTTCACTCCCAAGAACATCCGCTCCCACTTCCAGCATGTCTTCATCATCGTCCGAGTCCACAACCCATGTACTGAGAGTGTCTGTTACAGGTAGGGCTGTGAATGATCGAAAACCCCAAAGGCCCGAGGAACTAAGGAGGAAGGAAAGGACACTGGGGCATCAGGGACATGTTTGAAGAGCAGCGGAGCAGGTGTGGGAAGGAGTACCCCAACTGTGAGGTGAGGGGGTGCCTTGTGGAGGGAGGCTTTGTCCTTTCCTCTCAGTGAGGTGGAGCCCAGGAGGGCCCTGAGCAGGGAGGGGCAAGACCTGACTCCTGTGCTCACATGCGCCCTCTGGTGGGAGTTGAGAGTCCGCCAGGCTGTCTGGATAGGTCTAGAGCCAACCTGTGACACTTCCCTCTCCTCCCTCTGCTACCAGCTGCTGAGGAAGCGGCACATAGGGAACGACATCGTGACGATCATCTTCCAGGAGCCAGGTGCACTGCCTTTCACTCCCAAGAACATCCGCTCCCACTTCCAGCATGTCTTCATCATCGTCCGAGTCCACAACCCATGTACTGAGAGTGTCTGTTACAGGTATGGCCCCCAATACCACATGCCCACAAGAGGCCTGGGATGGGAGGCCAGTGGGAGCTGTCACAAATCCCACCTCACCCTGGCTCCCATCAGGGCCTGTCCTTCTTGGAAGCTTTTGCTGTAAAGGATTGAAAACGTACCTCAGTCTGGCTCAAGGAAAAATGCATTTGTATATATTGGCTCTAAGGCACGTCACAGGGAGGCACAGTACAGTGTGTGGCACAATGGGGTGTGCTCCATGGTCCTGGATGGAGCTTAACAACATCTTCCCAGCTACAGATCTAGGGAAGAAACTTGGTTAGACTGGAAATGTAGCTCAGTTTCACAGAACATTTGCCTAGCATGCAGGGTCCTGAGTTCGATCTTCAGCACCTCATAAAACAAGCATGGTGGCACATTGTAATGCCAGCACTTGAGAGATAGGGGGAGGGGTGTCAGAAATACTAGGCTATCTTCAGCTACTTGGCAAGTTCAAAGCAGGGGAATTGCCAGTCTGTCTGGATTACAGAGTGTGTTCAAGGCATGCCTGGGCAATTTAGAAAGACTGTCTAAAAAAATAAAAATTGTGGCTGGAGAGATGACTCAGTGGTTAAGAACACTGATGGATCTTGCAGAGGACCCAGGTTCAGTTCCCAGCATTCGCATGAGACCCTGGAAAGAGAGAGCGCGCAAGAGCTTTTCTGGAACCTGAGCAGAAATTCCAGAGTAGAGGCCCTCTGGTCCGCTTGGGGTCAGGTGCCTCTTCTGCGCCTCTTCTGCAGCCAGATGCCTAGCCAGAAAGAGTAATGACCTGTAGATAAAGCCGGGCAGGAGGAAAAGCCCTGGGAGACTAGGGGCAGGATAGTGCTGTGGTCTTTGGAAACTCCCAACTCAGCAGTCCAGGCCCAGGCCATCAGCTGTTTCTAGAGACTTGGGAATGGAACAGGTATGCTTTTCCATTCTTTGAAAATGGTCTGAAGTCCAAAGAAGGACGTGAGGATGCATCTCCCTCACTGCCCAGCCACCTTCATAGAGATGCCCTGTGCGTTGTTTCTGTGTCCCAATTCTTAAAGCAGATCCGTGTAAGTGGTCGTCTCCCACCTTTACAATACAAGTGGTGTGCTGGACCCACTGCCCTGCGGCCTGGAGTTTTTCAGTCAGTGTCTTACCAGAACATGACATTTGACAGTCTCCTACTGTCCTCCAGGGGTGATGTTGGAGTCATTTGCTGGCACCTGCACTGGGTACCCTTGTTTCTACACTCGGTGCAGCCTGTATCCAGTGTGCAGCATGTAAGAAATTACTGCAGTGGAAGTAGCAGGTCAAGGGTATGTCCCTGAGTGTACTGGTGATCTTGGTATTGGTGGAATTGCCAGAATTGACCTGTTTGATCTCGCAGCATGCAACTCTAGCTGACATAAACCACTTGTGCTAGATGCATTGCCTGGTGGCTGCTGGGCACCAGCGCCCTTGGCCCTGTCCAAACCCACGGCCACCTCGGTCCCAAAGTGTTTATTACTGGGATACACTACAGTGGCTGCAGGGTGCTGACTGGCACCTTGAACTCTGAGTGGACTAAGGCCACTTAAACGATGCCAGAGTTCAACAGTTTACTGTTCCTCAGCACCTGAAAGGTAGCCTTGATGATAGAAGACAGATGTTCACTCATGCCCTGGAAGAAGAGGCTGCCTGCTTATGCCACAGAGGCCGAGGGAGAATTGAGTTAGCCTAGGGGCTCCCTCCCCTTCCTCTTCACTCTTTGTTCTCTGATAGGTGAGTGGCACGGTGTTGAAGATTGAATGCAGGCCCTGATGTGTGCTAGGCAAGTGCTGTATCCTGAGCTATAGCCCTACCTGTACCCTTGGCTTTTTTGTGGCAGGGTTTTGCTAGGTAGCTAGGCTAGCCTGCAACTCCCTACATAGTGTAGGCTGGCTTCCAGCTTGTGATCCTCCTGCTTCAACCACCTGAGTGCTGGGATTATAGTTATGAGCCACTGTGCTAGGCTCCCTTCCTCCCCACTCTGCTTCCCTCTCCTACCTCACAGCCCCAGTAGCCTGCCCCCACCTCCCAGCTCTCCAGGGAAGCACAGGCTTGGTCTCCAGGGTGGCTTCTTTCTGATGCACAGCCCTTTTATTTTTTACAACTTAATTTTAAAAAGACTTATTATGCAATATTTTAAACATTCCAAAACGTGCAGAAAATAATGGAGCAGGCACCCATGTGCCACCAACAGATTTGACAGATGCTAGCATTTTGCCTTGTGTGCTTCAGTGTTCCCTCTTTTCTTTCTTTGTAAAGAAAGAAAATGTTAGTGATACAGTCACAGCTGCCCTTTACCAACCCCCGCCTTCTCAAAGGCACCTAATCTTCTGGGCTCTCACAAGGGAGGAATCCTGCAGCCAGCCTACCCTGCCCTGCCGTTCCCTGACCTCCCACTCCAACCTCCCTAGTGAATTTTGTGTGTATGTGTGTGTGCACACATGCACATCATGTAGCCCAAGCTGACTTCAAACTCACTGCGTATCCAAAGATCACCTTGGACTCCTAATTCTCCCTCTGCTTCCCGAGTGCTGAGGTCACAAGCGTACACCACCGTGTCTGGCTAACAGATCAGAGGACTTTAAAAGGCTGGAGGTACCAAAGTCCTTCCCATGTGCTTTAGAAACTGAATAAACAATTATTAAATAAATAATTGTGTGTGTTCTTGGAGCACGAACCAAGCTCTAGGATCAGGTGTCCTGGTGGCCACACATCTTATGGTTATATAATGAGTTTTCATCTTCTGTCATTTCTGAATGGGCAGGAGCATCCTCCCTGAGCCTGTGGATATCCAGACCCTCCTGCTAGAAACGAGGGATCAGCTGTTCCTGTTGTCCAGAACCTTCAGCAACTTACAATTTCATGACTTAAAATCATGAGTCAGGAAAATCATGAGTGAGGAAAACCAGCCTATCTCTAAGCAGCCAGGTGCTGGGAAGTCTCTGAATCACCAGGCTGTTAGAGTTGAGGGACCACAAGGTCTGGCTTGGCCTGGTTGGTGTACCAGAACTGCCCTTTGCACAGACATACACTCCTGCCCACTGGTGGAAATCATTTTCTTCTGTTGTGCCTGTCTGTATCCCAGTAGTGAGCACCTAGGCTGGTGCTGGGGAATCCATTTAGCCCAGGGTGGCACATGTGCAATAAAGGGGACACTATGCAGTAAACAATGGTGGTGGAAAGTGGGACTCAGACTAATCCATGGGGGCCCCACAGTTGTTCGTCCTCTACCCATGCTTGGTTCCATGAGGCAGACATGGTGATCTTTGCAGATTTACCAGCAGAACACCCCCACCAAAGATTTAAAGAAGGATGTCAACAGACTCACGAGTATGAGAGGGCTCCGAGGACTAATAGGGGAAAGGAGGCCTCTGGGAGTAGTGAGGACAGAAAGGCAGTGCTGCCTACCTCATCCAGACACAAAGAGGCCTGAGAGAAGTTTCTAGAAGCTGGTGAGAGCTGTGGCTGCAAGAGGCCATTCAATAAGAGCAGTGACTACAAATGAGGGATTGAGAACCAAAGCCCCTGGGATTGGAGAGATGGCTCAGTGGTTAAGAGCATGTACTGCCCTTTCTGAGGACCTGGGTTCCCAGCACCCACATGGCATTGATTACTGTCCATAACTCCAGTTCAAGGGAATCTGATACCCTCTTATGGCCTCCACCAGCATCACATGCTCATGGTGTACTTACACACATGCGGGCAAAACATTCATATACATAAAATAAAAATAAATACAATTTAAAGGAAAAAAAAAAAGGAGAACCAAAGCCCCTGCTACTACCACAGCCTGGCAGGGGAGGAAAGAAAAGAAAGGAAAGGAATTGTTCACCACTTAACACTAGGGATACATTCTGAGAAATGAGACAGCAGCTGATTTGACCGTTGTACAGACGTGGTAGGGTATGCGACGCCAACCAAGGTGACTCCAGTGTTAGTACAGTACAGTACAGTGTTAGGAGAGTAGCATTGTAAAGGTGGTGTCTAGTCACATCCTTAAGTTGTGTGTGGCTATACTCCAGCCTCTCTCCCCGTCAGTGCCTCCTATTGGCCATACTTACTTAGAAGCATGAGGTTGATGGACCCAGGTGACGGGCACAGTCTTCCCAGAACACAGCCAGTGGGAAGCATGACAGTCCACCAGGGCTGTGTGTGGTCTGCCTGTGGGGACCTTCCTAACCTCCGGCTTCTTGCTCCCTGGGCTCTGACCCTGCCTCTGGGCTTGCCTCCCTCTGCGTGGCCCTCTCCCACGTGAACTACTGTACATACCGTTCCTTCTTCTTGGTGTGTTCTCCCATAGCCCTGCTCAGCTTAGCTGTCACTTCCTCAGAGAGGCCCTCCCAGACTCCCCAATCCTAATTAGGAGCATCTGTTCTGTCATGATACACCACTGATTGTCTTCATTAGTGTGGCAACTCTGGAAAGTCAGGAAGCATTGTAACCCTAAAGCTGAGAGTGGGGCATCCAGGAAGCCCTTGTCAAAGGAATGAACATTATACCATCCCCTGTCAAGATGGGAAAAGTGGTCTGGAGGTCAACCAAATTCCAACACACATTGTACTCTTTGGGTTACATGGAATGTTGTTTAATATGTAATCTATTTATTCTTTTGAAACAGGGTCTCATGAATTCCAGGCTGGCCTCAAACTTGCTAAGACCAAACAAAAGCCATTGCCCAAATCAAGTCTCATAACCAGGCTCAGGGAAAGGGTAGTAGGCATGTGCCAGCCTACTACAGTGAAGAGGACAAAAAGAAATGTTTTCCAAACTATAATCTGACACAGTTTTATATAAAACAAGGCTAACTGAAGTTGAAAGCCGGGGGTGGTGGCACACACCTGTAATCCTAGCATTCAGGAAGCTTAGGTAGGAGAATTGCAAGTTCAAGGCCAACCTGGGCTGTATAGTAAGATTCTATCTGAGAAAACCAAGGGCTCAAAGATGTAGCTCAGTAGTAGAACACTTGCATAGCATACACAAGGGTAAAAACAATCTTACCACTGATCTTCTTTTTTCTTCTTTTTTTTAAACTTATTTATTATTTTTATTTTATGTGTATGTGTGTATTGCCTGCATGTAGGTAAATGCACCCATGTCATGCAATGCCCGCGGAGGTCAGAAGAGGCTGTTGGGATCCCCTGGGACTGGAGTTATGGACAGTTGTTAGCTGCCATGTAGGTGCTAGGATTTGAACCTGGGTCTTCTGCAAGAACAACCAGTGTTCTTAACCACTGAACCATCTCTCCAGCCCCTTATTTTTTCTTTCTAAAGAGAGTCTTGTTTGTTTGTTTGAGACAGGGTCTCATGTAGCCCAGGCTGGCCTCAAACTCATGATCCATTTGCCTTTGCTTCCCAAGTACTGGGATTACAAGCACATGCTGCCAGGCTTGAAGAATGTTAGTCTTTTTCTTTCTGCGTCTAAACGGTCTCTCCCTCCTCAGCATGGCTGTGACCCGATCCAAAGACGCTCCTCCTTTCGGCCCCCCCATCCCCAATGGAACCACATTCCGCAAATCTGATGTCTTCAGAGACTTCTTGCTAGCCAAGGTGATTAATGCTGAGAACGCTGCGCACAAATCTGACAAATTCCATACCATGGCCACCAGGACCCGCCAGGAGTACCTCAAAGACCTGGCTGAAAACTGTGTCTCCAACACCCCCATAGACTCCTCTGGCAAATTCAACCTCATCTCCCTGACCTCCAAAAAGAAGGAGAAGACGAAGGCCAGGGCCGGTGCAGAGCAGCACAGTGCTGGGGCCATTGCCTGGCGGGTGGCAGCTCAGGACTATGCCCAAGGGGTAGAGATCGACTGCATTTTGGGAATTTCCAATGAGTTTGTCGTGCTCTTGGACCTCCGCACCAAGGAAGTTGTGTTCAACTGCTACTGCGGGGATGTCATTGGCTGGACCCCAGACTCCTCCACACTGAAGATCTTCTATGGCCGAGGGGACCACATCTTCTTACAGGCTGCAGAGGGCTCTGTGGAGGACATAAGGGAAATTGTCCAGAGGCTGAAGGTAAGAGAGAAGGCCCAGCAGCAGGTGCTGTTTGTGTTTGGCAGAAGGCTCTGGAAGCGCACAGCACCTTCCCTGGCCCAGGCAGTTAGGCTGGGACATGAATAAGTCCTAAGTCAGAATTGTAAGTTCTGCTTCCCACATTGCCCCTGGGGAGGGAATGGGCCAGGAACCTGTGGCTGCCCATGCCGTTGCCTTGGAAGGACCAAGATGTATTTATTAATCCTGAAAGTAGAGAAGATGTAAGTTTAAACTTGTTCTAAAAATGCAAGTGGGGCTAGAGATAAACTCACTGATAGAGCACTGACTGAAAAGGCCCCAGGTTCAATTCTCAGCACCAAAGAAGTCAATAATAATGCTAATAATACTAAGAGTGCTTTTCTGGGAGAATTAGAATTGAATGAAAAAGTTCTAGGAGCTGGAGACATGTTTTAGCAGTAAGAATAAGGACCAGCGTTCAATTCCCAACACCCATATTGGATAGCTCACAATCCTCTGTAACTCTAGATTGGCACTGCATGCACATATATGCAGAGATGTGCACACAGAGACACAATTAAAAATAAAATAAGGGACTGGAGAAATGGCTCAGTGGTTAAGAGCACTGGCTGCTCTTGGAGAGGACCCAGGTTTGGGTCCCAGTACCCACATGGTGGCTAACAACTGCATTTCCAAGAGCATTGCACGACACAGGCACACTTACATACACACAGGTAAGACACTCACACATTTATAAACAAATAAATAAAATAAACCAGGCATGCCTTTAATCCCAGCACTTGGGAGGAAGAAGCAGACAGATTTCTGTGTTCAAGGCCAGCTTGGTCTATATAGTAGCAAGTTCCAGGCCAGCCAGAGCTACATAGTGAGATCCTGTCTCAAAATAATAATAATAAATTATTAAGTAATTAATAAAAAAGGTGCTAGACTCAGCATGTCTAGCCTGTGGCCCATGGGCCCCACACATCCCAGGATAGTTATAAATGTATCCCAAAACATTTGTAGTCTACAGCACCATGTCATAATGACAAAGGGTTTGGACACCCTGTAGGTCATTAAAGTATAGAAGTGAGGCTGGGAGCCGAAAAAACAGTACAGTGAAAGGACCAAAGGAACTTAAATTGTAGGGCAGGAATCGACTTCATTGTAGCAATCATGGTAGATGTAAGTAGTTTAACTTTCTATGTTAAAAGACAAAGACAATCTGGATAAAAAAAAAAAATTTTTTTTTTTTTTTGAGACAGGGTCTCCCTGTTGCCCCAGCTGTCCTGGAACTCACTATGAAGACCAGGCTGGCCTTGAACTCACAGAGATCTGCCTGCCTGTGCCTCCCAAGTGCTAGAATTAAAGGTGTGTGCCACCACGCCCGGCCTGGATAAAAATTTTTATCCTAAAGTCACCCAGCTAATCCTTGGGTTGGCGTATGGCTCAATGGTAGAGTGCTTGCCTAGCATGGAACCCGGATTCTGGGTTTCCTCTCCGTCATCACAGTGAGGTGGGGCTGGGTGGAGCTAAAATGTCTTACCTTACACTCCTTCCTGGTAGACAACTCACTCAGACCCACGGCCAAACCAAGAATGGTCGATTAGTGACAAATTAGTTGTGCTAGGAAGTGTTGAGGCCACACCCGAACTCCACAGGAAGGTGAGCTGCAGTCAGTACTGATGGCAGTCTTGGCGGGGATTTAGCAGAGTGGTGTGTCAAGCATCCCAGAGAAAGCCGGATGCCACAGTAGTGAAGAGCACAGATTCTAGAGACCAAAGGCCTGGTGCCAGGTCCCAGCATTGCCACTTGCCAGCTGAGTGACCACCCGTCAAATTGCTTCAGACTGTGTGTGACTGTTTTTCTGTTGCTGTGATAAAAAATACTCTGAGAAAAGAAACAAAGGAGAAAGGGTTTCTTCACCTTGCAGTTCTAGCTTACAGTCCAGAGGCAGGAGCTTCAGGGAGCTGGTCCCATTACATCTGCCATCAAGCAGAGAGTGACAGATGCAGCTCCCTAGTGCTAGTTCGCTTTCTCCATGTGATGCTGTCCAGGATCCCAGCCCAGGGAATGGTGCCACCACAGTGAGCAGGTCTGCCCCCCTCAGTTAGCACAGTCACACCCCCACGGGTAAGCCTGGAGGCCCTTCTCCCAGGTGATTCCAGATGATTCTGTCACATTGACAATCAACACTAACCATCATAGTGACTCAGTTTCCTTAGCTGGAGAATAGAAACAAGAATCATCCTGGCTAGGCAGCTCAGTGGTAGAGCACTTGCCTAGCATGTGTGAGGTCCTAGGTTCAACCCCCCCAGTTCTGCTCTCCCCCAAAAGATTCATCCTATATTATGTGCAAGTTTCTTGTGTTTTATATATGTGTTATGATGTGAAAGTTTTGAAGGCTGGGTGAGTTGTGTTGTTCAGACAAACTTGCCTATCTTGGTGGGCCATGATCTCCCAGTACTCCCATGACCAGTGGCTGTCCTCACCCTCGGAGGCCTTCTCACTCCCTAGTTAAGTTCAAGTGGGATTGGTTAAACCCTGCTCTCAGCTTCTTTGATGTCATAATTCATGCTGCTTCCCCAAACCACTGTAGCCAGGGTTTCAGTTTCCTGGTAGAAGGGGAGGTCTGGTCCATGACTGTACCACCCTGAGCACACCTGATCACAGAAGCTCAGCAGCCAAGCAGGGTTGAGCCTGGTCAGTACCTGGCTGGAAAAGGTGAAGTCTGGCTCTGGAGTCTTTATCTGTTCCTATGTCATAGACATGGGACAGGGCAGCACACAGTAGGTGTTTAGTAAACACCAATCAGTAATTGGTTTGTTGAGTGAGTTTGGCACATGGCATTGCAAAGTCCTCACACCAGCTCAAGTGCTGGTCCTGTTTTCGTCTCCACTGGATGGATGAGGAAATTGAGGCACAGGGAAGGATGATATTCACATGAGCTCATACAGCCAGGTATTGGCAGAATTGGGATCCAAATTCAAGTTGCTCTGACTCTACAGACCTTACCTGAGCCCAGAGGCAAGCCTGGCCTCTAGTCACTTCCTCAGCATCTCCCCTGGGCTGTCCAAGCGACCCTTGAAATTTCACATGGTCATAGCAAGCTGGTGTCCCTCCCACATCCCCACATTTCCTGTCTCAGTGAAGGCCAAGGCTTTTTGTTGAAGTTAGAGACCTTGCATCAGCCAGGGCCCCACCTCATTCTCATTCCCACACCCCATCAGTGCCATCTTCACAGGCAGCCTCCAGCTGCCCTTCCCACTCCTTTACCTTCTCCCCAGTGCAAGCTGCCTGTGGCTTTGGATTTTTTTAATTTTTACTGGGGGCAGAGGAGGTGAGATAAGGTCTCACTGTGTCGCCCCAGGCTAGCCTCTAAGCTGTGGTCTTTCTACCTCAGCTACCCAAGTGCTGGGGTTTGCTGCCTTGTGCCACCATGCCTTGCCTCTCTCAAATTATTATGGGAGTCTGTACACACACACACACACACACACACACACACACACACACACACATACACATCTGCCTCTTTTGCCTTTGTTTCACTGTGGTCTGTTCTTAACATGGGGATCTGATCACCTCAGTACTGTACTCCAAGAGATCAGCTCACTGTAGGTACCAGGAAAAGCCCTGCTGGCCCAGGAGGCCTGTGTCCTTGGCTCCCTGTTAAGTCCTCTAGCTGTCCTGTGTGCTCTCTGCTCTCTGCTCTCTGCTCCCTGCACACAGACCTCTGCTGCTTCTTGGATATGCTAGGCAGGTGTCCAGCCTCAGGGCCTTTGCACCGCCTGGCCCTTCTTGCTGGATTTCTGTGTTGTTGCTCCATGGCTTAGTGCTTCCCTTCCTGCAAACCTCAAATGTCACCTGAGGTCTCATTGTCTAAGATTGCCTTACCACCATCTGGCATGTACTTTTATGCAGTGTGTTCACTGCTATGCCCTCTGTGCGCAGGCCAGCATCTGGTACACAGCGCAGGCGCTTAGTAAGAACTACAGCTGACAGTGTGAACATGGGCTGTTCTAGCAGTAGCAGCAGGA